TCTTATTAATATTAATGTAGCGCCAAACTATCTACAAGTGTCGTCATCGCATGGGTTATCCCAAAGAGCGATTTATAGGTCAGGTTTCCACTGTTGACTATCCTGTTATGTTTAGATACAGCGAATGAACTTAGGTATGGCATAGTAGATGTTTTATGGCGCTATAGAATAGAAATGTCAGTTACAGCGCCAGCGAGGGCCTTGTTTTGATAAAATATTTGGCTAGTGTTTGTTTCTGGCGTCTTTTATTTTTATCATTGAGGGTGCTTTACGTCATAGAACATTAAAACATTTTGGGCGGTACTGCACGACCGTGCTCTATGGACAAACCGCGCCTGGTTAGAGCGTTACACCAAAACCGATTACATGTACTGACACTGGCAGGCCCCTTTTGTGTGATTCCATAATTTACATATGTAATATCCTGTACTTTTTTTAAATTGCGCACATTTAGTGTTAAAACAGCCAATCTTCTTCGGACAGGTGGACACACGCTCTTATTTGTTAATTTTTGTGGCTGTTTATGGGCTGTTCTAATTTTGATTTCATTCTGTTGTGAAACCTTTCTTTTTCACGTTTTTACACTCATCTTAAAATCTCTAGACTAGCTCTTGAAAATTGAAATAGATCCAGACCCAAAAATTTGCTCCTTCCCACACCTCGCAGAATGGCAGAATGAAAGTTGGCGTCGAACTCTCGCAAATAGGCAAAAAATCACGAGACCGGAAGCCAGAAACCGTTTGGAGAAATAAAGATCAGCAATATTTCTCAGAATGTTCGCAGAAATAGTCACTTCGTTAATAATAACTCAATTGTAAGAGTCATAAAATAAAAACTAAAGCATATATCTAAAATTCAACAAGCCAAATTTAAGAGACATAAATTTACTGTTGGCATGCCAAATTAGAAGTGAATTAGTTAATAAATAAGGGAATAAAATGGGATAGAAAAAGGTATACAAAATCCAATATGGCTGCTATTTCCATAGCAACCGATTCACAATATACTTTTTGAACTTTTGATTTCAAATCCCCAATAACACACAATGTCCCACAGCCAATATGGGCACTCTAGGCCTTGTAATAGTAATAGCCAAAATAGACCTTAGGTGTTCCACCAGCCCTTAAATAAATTTGTCTGCAAATTTCATAATTCACATTCTTTTGGAATTATATATATGCGGAGGGTTTAAGTAGGGGTATGAGTAACTGAGTAAGGACAGGGGTAGGTTAAGGGGTTGGATCAGGGAAGACTTCCGTAACGAGCCACCACTATAAAACAGGAGTAGAATAGAAGGTATGAGTTAGGGTTCGGGGTAAGGGCAGGGTTAGGTAGGGGTAGGGGTAGGGGTAGGGGTAGAGGTAATGGTAGGGTAGGGGTAGGGGTTGGGTCAGGGTTAGGGTTAGATCTAGGTCTCTTCTTTATTGTGTTTGTTGGGGTGGTTGCTCATTACGGAAGTCCTTCTAAGGGTTAGGTCTCTTCTGTGTGTTTGTTGGGGTTGTCGTTCATTACGGAAGTCTTTCCGTTGCAGTTGGGAAACTTCTCAAATTCAATCATGTCCATGCAAAATAGCTTAAATTACATAAAACATGCCAGAATTATTCAAAGTTGAAAGTCAGTAGATCTAAGTTATCAGCTACATCTACCAATTCCTATTCCATAACTTTCACCTCCATACTAATTACTAATTATACACCATCGAACAATTTCTTCACCAAACCAAGAAATCCTCTCAGCAAAAGTTAAATGAAAAGTAATGTAGAAGGCTTTTTAAAAAATCAAGTATTAAACTAACTTCTAAGACTAAAGACAGAACGGCGATTGTTAAGATTCCGGCGTTTAATTCCGATGCGCATATTATATTTCATAGCCTCAGGTAGATTCTTTGTTTTGCTTTGGTCCCTAACCCACCCTGACCCTAACCCTGAAAAACGCACATCGGAATTAAACATGTGATCTTAACTCTTGTCCTGCCTCTGTGCTGAGATGCGAATCTTATCAGCAACCAATTATGTCTAACGTTCCGGGCAGGCCACCGGGGTCACTCAGCATGTACTGTTGGTGTACAGTGAGCGGGCCTGGAAACGTGTGTTTTCGCCATGAATATCATGCCCTCCTGACCCAATAAAAATATGGTGGGGGGTTTCAGGGGGGCATCCCCCTGAATTTTACCATAATTTGATGTTTTGCAGTTGTTAGGTTTGATATATGGGCTCACCGCGAATCAAACTTTTAAATCTCGATGTAGATGTAGGTTTAGATTCTAAGCTCAAATAGGGCACTCCTGTACAATTGCAGTCCCGTTTAGAGATACTCATTTTGACCCTACCAACAATTACTTCTGGTTCTAAACGATTACTTTTTGATGCGCGTGCCGATAGGCCTATGGAAGGATAGCCAATTAAACCTAATTGTAGGTAAATTTTTACTTTCACTCCCACACACAGACGCACTGTTTCAGGGGTCAAACGGCAGTACTGTTTGCTGCAGATCACACATAAAGCCACTAAAAACTGTCGCAAATCAATTATTTTCAAGACAATTTCAAATCTAACTGTAAGATATTGAAACTATGGGTAAAAACAGGTGGGCATGCCCCCTGTAACCCCCCAGATTTGCTTTTACACCAGTGGGGCAGCCCCCCCCCCGATTGGTCCAAAGCATGTCTATCTCGGTTAAAAACAATCAAATATTTCAATAACTATTAATTTGCGACGGAAATGAAATTGATATTCGTGTTCAGCGCATCAATATTTAGATCTAGATCTAGTAGAAAGGTAGTGTCAATTGCCACCGAGTGACGCGGTGGCAATTGACAAAAATTGACTTTTTGTCAATTGCCACCGAGTAAATTGGAGCTCTTTTGCGTTGGTGGGTAGATCTAGCTTATTGTGCTCGAGTGCTCGGTGTTGTGTGTTCGCCTCTCTGTCCGTCTGTGGGAAAATCCCCGTCTGTGTGTGTGTGTGTGTGTGTGTGTGTGTGTGTGTGTGTGTGTGTGTGTGTCTTTTCCTGACTCCCGTCCCTCGATTTAGGTTCCCTGATATAACGTGAATTTCTGCTTCAGTTTGTGTGTTTGTGACCTTCTACTTCTAGAATTGCCTGTGTTGATTCTACACCAAAATGTAGGCTAAGGCTAGCCTAGATCTAGGCCTACGTCTCATTGAAAACACGCCAAGTTGGTACCGTAGCTCTAGACTAGATGCTCGTCCAATGAAATTAGTTGAGAACAAATTGACCCATTAGACACACATTTATTTGTACAATGCTAAAGATGGTGTTGTTTTCAGACTTGACACCGCTTCACTCGGTGGCAATTGACAGAAAGTCAATTTTTGTCAATTGCCACTGCGTCACTCTGTGGCAATTGACGCTATCTAATAGAAAATAGACAACTGGTAGCTGAGTGTGAGACAGAAGGGAAAGTAAAAAGGGAGTGTATACAGACCCGGTAACCGGGAACAAAGTCACAAAGTATACAGACCCGGTAGGGGAACTCTTTTGTGATTTCGAAGAGTTTCAGCGCCCTCTTGGCTCAGGGTAGATCTAGGTTCTTCTAGATTTATGGTCTAGATCTAGATCTAGGCAGACATAAATCTTTGATCTAGTTTCGCGGCTAGCCTAGATCTAGATCTAAATGAAGATTGCGGATGTTTTGGAGTTGGAGGAATCACGATTTGAAGTAAAGAACAATGTCATAATTTCAATCGAGCAGTCACCCTCTCTATTTCTCTGCCCCCCCCCTCTCTCTCTCTCTCTCTCTCTGTGTGTGTGTATCGTTCGCCTTCTCTTTTTCTTTGTTTGTCTCTGTATTTCTTTGTCCCCACCTATTTCCCACTCTATCTTTCTCTCGTTCCCTCCTGCCAACTGGGGCATGTCACATTTTGCTAGCACCTCTCTCTCTCTCTCTCTATCTCTCTCTGTTTGTCTATCTCTCTCTCTCTCTCTCTCTCTCACACACACACACACACACACACACACACACTCACTCTCTAGATTTCTACCGGGTCTGGGCGCTGAAACTTCCCGAAATCACAAAAGAGTTCCCCTACCGGGTCTGTATACTTCGTGACTTTGTTCCCGGTTACCGGGTCTGTATACACTTCGAAGTAAAAAAATACCTAGATCTAGATTCTAGTCCTAGATCTAGATCTAGATCTAGATTAGATTCTAATTGTAAAAGTAAAACATCAAATTATGGTCAAATTCAGGGGGCAAGCTCCCCTGAAACCCCCTTTGCCTTTTATACAATTGAAATTTGACTGCTCATTTGGTAGGCAAGATCTAGATCTACTGATAAAACATCGATACTGATACACCGAACACTTCAATCAGTATCGATATCCAACTCAGTAGTCTTTGCATTGTGATTTAGTGCTAGATCTAGAAATCTATATATCTAGATTTCTAGATAGATATCTAGATCTAGATCAGATCTAGATCTATATCTAGAGATCTATATCATCTAGATCTATATATATCTAGAACCTAGATCTAGATCTAGATCTAGAATCTAGATCTAGATCTAGATCTAGTCTAGTTCTAGGATCTTCTAACGAGACCGCAATTGTACAGGAGTGCCCAAATAAGGGGGGTGGGAACTACCGAAAAAACACCCTGATTATTACGTCAAATTAGAATCTAATATCTAATCTAGATCTAGAATCTAGAATCTAGATCTAGAATCTAATTATAGATCTAAATCTAGATCTAGTCTAGCTCTAACAACACAACAATGAAGAGGGCCGAGGCTGACTCGGGAGACGAGAGACCCGAGATTTAGATTGAGAGAAAGACTGACTGAAGGTCCAAACTTTTTTTCCTTTTGAACAAAAACTAAGGAAAGGTAGAAACTACAAGTACAAGTAACAGGAACGTACAATTTCCTCTACTAAAACAGGCAACAGACACCTTGCGCTCCAGTAATCTAATCAAATGCAGGTCGAGTTAGGAGGTAAACAAAGAAGTTACAAGGTAATCAACAGTAAACAAAAAAAACTTACAAAAGGAAGCTCATCGTCTGTGAGTGTGTGTCTCTTCAGTAAAAATTTCTTTTAAACGATTGTGTTCCAATGTTATCATTAAGCCTATGGTGTATCCAAAAGTTCACATCTCACAGTAGATGTTTTCCGATTGAATTTATTTTTGAGACGGAAGAATAATGGAGGACTTTGTTGATATCCAACCGGATGTACATATGATGACAACTTCCTTCACAATCAGATGATCGCTTGGCGTCGGCCTGAATATATTTCACGATCTAAACTATCATTTGAAATTATTTATCAACCTAGCCTAACAATCAGATGATCGCTTGGCGTCGGCCTGAATATATTTCACGATCTAAACTATCGTTTGAAATTATTTATCTAGACTATCTATTTATTTATTTGTTTGTTGGGGGGCACCAAGCGATCTGAATTTTAAGCTTTTATCATTCCATTTGTTAGTGAAAGTTATACATGTAGGCCTACAAGTATATTAAGGATAATACATGGTTTTGGATACTTTCAGCAAAGATTGATTGATTGATTGATTGATTGATTGATCAATCGATCTCTTTATTTATTTATTTGTTTACGTATATTTATTTATTTATTCATTTATTCGTTAGGGGACAGAGAACATGCCGAATAAATTATAGCTTTCATCATTTCATTTGTTAAAGTAATGCACTTACATTAGACAATAAATGGTTTTGGATACTTTCAGCAAATATTTAAAAATAGCTCTAGCCATACGGTTTTGTTTTTATACGGTTAGAGAACAATCATCGAATCTATGGACGACCAAGAGTTACCCTCCTCCTCCTCGGTCGTCATGTTTGGGGGCGGTATCATATGTTGTCCTACTCACACAGCTGCTAAAACATTCACACCATTTGAAACATTTTGTATCATTTTTTTAAAAATGTAATCGTATTATACTGCTGTATTGGAGAACTGCGTCTGCGTCGACAAAATATTTCAAAGCCATTATTCATCATCATCAGCCTTATGAAAGTGCACAAGGATGTCACTTCATTTGTGCGCGAGCAACGATAATTATGTTCCTGCAGTAGACGCGATAGATATTATGGGTCCTGTGCTAGGCTTTCTCAGCTGCTATACTGCACTGAATGTGTCCTATACTTGAAGTCTATGGGTGTCTACTGTCTAGAACATACTTTTTTCTCACAAGATTGATATGAATGACAAATTTTAGTTCATCAGCTTCATGTAACACAATGGCATCCCTCCAGCTTGTACATGCCTCCTGTGTGCACCATAAAACAAACTGGGATCGCGGAAATGATTTCTTCCGTCATCACAGCAAAGCCGGCTTAAATAATTTGGTAGAGATTTTTTAAAATAAATTAGCACGGGGGGGGGGGGGGGGGGCAATTAGCTGTCTAGAGACATTTTTGAACATATTATTATCTCCGCTGTGCTGGTAGCTCCAGTGTATATCTCGACGCTTGGAGTGCTTTTACGAGACACGGACAGCTTTACGGTCAAATCCCGTTATACCATCAACCTTGGGACGTGCATAAAGTTGGCGGTACAACGGGGCTGGCGATACAATGAGATTTTCATGTCCTTTGTTGAAATACTCGTTGCCTCGACCGCCCAACGTCAATGGAACTTGTTTACCTATCACTAGATCAGATGAAGTAATGAGTCACCTGCCTTCGATCTGCCACTTTAAATTACGACATCTAGACTTCAGCGTGAGTTCTCACAAAATAAAAGCCCCACGGGCATTCGTCAACCTGTGTAAGTGTAAGTAATTGAGCTCATACTGGCGACGCTAGATATTTTGCCTGGGAGAGAGAGAGAGAGAGAGAGAGAGAGAGAGAGAGAGAGAGAGAGAGAGAGAGAGAGAGAGAAGTGGAACTCAGATTCAATGACGGGAGATCTCGTGGCCTAGAGGTTAAGGCGTTGGCTTCTCATTCAAAGGTCCCGGGTTCGAATCCGGGTAGAGACCGAAAAAAAAATTATTCTCTAAAATTGTCTCCTTTCCTGATCTCTAGCAACGTTCTGTTGTCTGCTTTCGTCCCCACCCCATCACCTCCTTTGCCCCCTCCTCTGGGCTCCTGAATGCAGCCTTTCATGCTGTCTTTCAGCCACTCCCCTGATCTTCTGGTAGGAAAGATCTACACCTTGCCTTCTCGGACAAGGGCGAAAAATCTCAGAGGGCCCCTGTGCAAGTAGCGCACATTAAAGATCCCTTCGTTGTGTAAAATCGATGAGAGTAGGCCTCTGCCGCCACACTTTAAAAAAAAAGGATTCAGCGAGAACTTGGATTCAAAGGAGTTGGATTCCCCGTTTTCACTATTCATAAAAATCATTAATAAATATAACTCGGATTCAACGAACCCCGAAATGAGCAAGCTCGGTTTTAACGAAATCGTTTGCAGGATGAACGGAGCCCGCTGACGTCGCTTCGCTCATTTTTTTTCCAAGTACGAATGGCATCTGCATCGTGAACCATTATTCGCTTGTTTTCTTCTTTCATACTAAAACACACGTTGTTAGTACGAAAACATACATCTCATAGCGTGTGTCGAGGTCGGACGGGCGGCCAGAACACGTTTGACTGTGTGTGCGTGTGTCTGGAGGAGGGGGGACAAGCAGTCCGGGTGTAGAACATCAGTATAGATGCAAATGCGTCAAATTTTTCCCCTCTTACTGATCAACGTTACAATGATAAGCTAGTCTTGACAAACATTTACGTAATGAATTGCGCTCTGGATTATGGTGGAATTAAACGTTGCCGTATGCTAGGCTCTACACAGCAGCATAACTTGTTCCGCAAATAGTACGTTTGAATGAATTGGCCCTTTTGCAAAATGTGTGTTTGGTAGAGTTCTGTGTATTTTCCTGAGATTGTCCAGCATTCCTTCGGTACGGCATCAAAGAAACGAAAAGCCTCCAGTGGCGGTGGGCGGACCAAAATTTGGGAGGGGCTTGGGTTTCTTCCACTTCTTTACCACCAAATAGCAAGCAATAAGAACAAAACAGTAATGTTTTTTTTTCTATACTCACGGGGAACCACGGCATTTTGAGAACCATTTAAACGAGAATAGTCACATTTGTCTTCCATCTCTTTGATCAACGTTAAATTCTTCTTGATGGGAGGACGAAGCCGTTTCACCTCCAAATTTCTCTAATTCATTTTCATCTGGTGAAAAAGTTGCCTCAAAAGTGTTTTTATGTGATTGATAATTGTTACATCTCAGCGGCACACACACAAACAAGCTCACACAGCACTCCAAACGTATGAGCTATATTTGGCCGTGTAGTTGAGGAAAGCAGACAGCACCGAACAAAGGTCCAATGGGTGCATAGGTAACTGTGTCACTGGGGGGAAAGTGTGTCATAAACTTTCATCCCATTGTCAGGGCTTGGAGAGCTTGAGCCCTCTGTGCAGTGTTATTTTTTCAAGTCTTCTACCTTTTTACAAGAGGGGTTTCATCTTATTTCGTTATTTTCATTTGCTTCGGGATAGAGTTGGGGGATGTGGGGGGCCCAAACCCGTGAGCGCTTCACTACCCACCGCCACTGAATGCCTCTCATTTGAAGCCAAACTACATGTACTTTTGATTGAGAACGTCGAATACATTATACATTACATGTACTTGCATGAAGTCTGTAATTATCTCCACAAAAAACCCATGTTCGCAGTAAGGAACACTCGGATTCAACAAAATTTAATGTCAGGCCCGACAACTTCGTGGAATCCGAGTTCCACTGTTATAATAATAATGATAATAATAA